GCAGTGCATCAAATTAATCATCCTATGCAAAACTTAAATCTCTTTCATTATTTGAATTAATTTTTACTTAATAAACGCACACTTCACGGCTAAAGTGCAAAATCTTATACCCATTAAGATCCGAATTTGCAGATGAGATCAGAAAATAGATGTTTTCATAAATTAATTTTCCAAATAATTTCGAAATTGAAATTTCTTAAAAATCCTGAATGGAATTTTCTTAAACGCAAGATCAGATAAGAAGAAAATTCAAAGTAAGGCGGAAGCAAGACTACTCTGGTACCAAAGGTAAGAACTCATTCTTAACTTGAATAAATCAAGCCGAAGAGAATACTTAAATTGAATTAACCTCTAGCCATTGCTTCAAACACGATTTTGAATCTCAGTTTTCTTTTTTCAAGAAACCGTGAGTTGAATTCCAGGAAAGCGTAGTCAAACCCTTACTCTCATCAATAGCGATGGTGTATAATAATTTTTTAGAGTAAGTTTAGTAACCCGTGAGAGTATTTAGAAAAAAAAAAAAAAAACCGTATTTTCTGCCACTTCTCACATAAATTCTCAATGTGAGGGCTTAATGGGAGAGTGAGTGGACCCCAATTTAAAATTAGTTTAATTAGTCAAATTAATTTTAAAAATAATCACATAGATAGATATATATATAAATTAAGTATTAAACTTAAATTTGATTAATTAATTAATTAATTAAACTAACAAATAAAGCATACAAAATAAACGGATCTATTTTAGGCATTTTAAACATAAAGTAGGTGTCTATTGTTTTTCTTTCTCTGTGGGATAAAAAATCTTTCTTTGGCTCTAGCTTGCAAATGAGAAAGGTGATTGAACACACCTATACTATTACATCTTGCCAAAGTTAGAACTACTATAATTTTGTCTAAGCATGTTTCTGCGCATGTGTATAGATATATAGTTTAAAGTAATGAGAATAGAAGAAACTGACATCTTCTACGAGAACGGATAATCATGGATACTCTATTCGAATTGATATTTAATTACTATTGAATTAAATAAGATTCAAATACTCATCCAATTCAATAATTATACATGGTCAATTTATGAATTATACAAATACTAAACTAATAATTATATACATGGTCAATTTAGGAATTATACAAATACTAAACTAAAAAGAATTTAGTAAGTATTAAAAATCTCATACAATGTAAATTTAAACCATAATAAAAAATTGAATTTGAGAGATTGTCTATTTAATATTCATGAAAATAAATAAGAAAAATGAACACAAACGACATGAGAACCGTTTATTGCAATCGTCTGTGTAACTGTTGAAAGACCAATAATTGTACTAGGACGTTAGAAGTGTTTCTACCTCATACAGCTCGGGCCAAAGAACGGGATGGCTACTACTTTGCACTCTTCACTTCACTCACTATATTGATTTTCTCAGTTCCTTGGATGTCATTTCACATGTTGTACACTTTTCAATCTTAATCGTAAGACTTTTAAAATAGTAGTTGGATTTCAAGTTTATTGGGCTCAAGTAAATTATTTGTTTTTTTTTTTAGTCATATGGGCATGACTAAGGCCTATGGATCTTTTTAATTGTACTTATTTAATTATATTTATTTTTTATTAATTTTGTCAATTTTCTTCTAAACCTGCAAAATATACCATATTTGGTAAAATCCATGTCAAATCAACTAAAATTCTATAGTATTAATAAATAAATGCATATTATATAAATTATTAGAAACAATTTATTAGAAATCTAGGGAAAAGAGTAGTCAATATTATTTACAAGTGATGAGAAGTATTTTATAAAAACAATGAAGATATTATATACCTCTCAAAATTATGCATTAAATGGAATTGGAATGGATCAAAAATACTATTAAAAATATAGGGAAAAGATGTTTCACATTGTTGAATAATACATAAATAAAGATTATTTTAAATTTTCATAGAATCACTGTAATTTTATACTATAATAGCCCCATATTACTAACTATAACTACTTTTGATGTTAAACAAGGAAAAAAATTGATTAATTCCATTAGTACCTCCAAATCTTCTTAGGTGACATCTCTTAGAATCCAATTGGAATAAACCATTGCATGAAAACATGGTGGCCATAACGAACATCCGGTACTTCATCATATCAATGCACCGGCTTAAGTTGGATATATATCCATAGGTGATTTTTGAGTTCACAATCCAAATTAGAAACTTCATCCTACAAATTTTACACAATATGTACGCTTACTGCATAGTAGCACTTTTGAGTATGATTAAATTCAAATTTTTATGTCACAAGCATTAGGTATGTCTATACATTTGTTGTCTTTCATCTTACCCTTCACATCCATAATGGTATTGAAGATATTTTCAACATGTTATTCTTAATATGCATAACATTTAGATTGTGTCAAGTATGGTAAGCCTTAAAAACTGTTTTTTTTTTTTTTTTTTTTGTCACCTAAAATTATCGGATATACTTTTATCCATGTCAGTGGCGTCCAACTATGTTACTTTGAGGAACCCATAATCATTGCTCTCATTACACTGTTATTCTTATGATTTTAGACTTGGAGAAGTAATCGTATTAATTATCCCATTTTTGAACTTCTTGTCATACTAATACAAATGGTTGTACATAAGAAACCTATGGTGTTTATTAAACTAAGATTGCTTACAACCATTTGGGAGACTAAAAACTAAGTTTTGGTCTTGACACATCGGACAAACAATCTTCTATAAAGTATCCACCTAGAAATTATCGAATAAGCTAGAAGGTTGCCTATAAGAGATTTATTAATTGATAACAAATTGAAAAAAAAAATGAAAAAAAGAAAGAAAAGATCACCTATAGTCTACAAAAATGTCACCTTCGTAGTAAAATTTACTTTACAGAAAACATCAAGTGGGATGTTGTTTCCCAGGTTCTGTCCCTCTTATTTTTTTTTTACTTTCCATTCAATTCTTCTATCAAGAATTGTAAGTGTATATATATATATATATATTATATCAAACTCTGCATTGTTTTGAAGTAAGCAACCATTGAGAGATTACCTTGGTATAGTATGCTAATCTCCTTTCTCTTTTGATAGATGAGCGGTCCATTGTGTAGTTTAAATTTCTACCATAACTCATAACTTGTGTTGATAAGGCTAAAGACAACTGTAATTTATGGAGAAATCGAATTTAACAACCAACCGAGCATCATATTATCATTTCTCTCCTACTTTAAAGTTGCGATTAGATCCTCAGGTCTTTTAATTTCTCCAATCACGAAACCTTTCCTTTAACCGAAAGAGCTCTCAAAACAATTTTGTTCCAAATAAGATAATTTGTCTCTATGATTGAAGACATACCAAACTCATATTTGGTTGGTTATGAGAAGAAATTTCCAATTGAGCAATGGATGAAGTCAAAGTGCTCCCGGTGGGTAGGTTCATTATTTCAGTCAAGGGATTTGTAAAGCTTAGTAGCGAAGGATATGTCGCCATTTTGGTTTTACTCACGAAATCAATCAGAATATAAAATCTTAGCGGAATTGAAACACAAGCAACAATGCATAAACAAAGAAGAAATGAGATCAATCTCAAACCAAAATCACCATAGGCTCTGATACAATGATGATGAAATCAACAATCAAAATGGAGAATTTTCTAATTTATAGGACTTAAAAAACTAAAAGTCGTACAAAGAAATCGTTTATCTTTCACAAAACTAACTAACTTTCTAAGAACAAAGAACAAACTTGACTTATTGCTGATTAATTTACTTTAACCTCTAGCATATTTTCTGCAATTCGAACTGTAGTTTGGTGCAACTAGTTTTGTGGTTCATCATTTTCTGCTTTGAATTTGCACGCCTAGGCACAATATGTGATAAAAATAAGTACTAAAAGATATAGATACTTAGAGCATCAGCAATGGTAGGTTTTTCATTTTGGAGATGTATCGAGATCAGTTAAACAAAAAAAAAAAAAAAAAACCCATAAAATAAAAATGAAAAACTCCTCCACAAAACATCTTGCCAGTGGAAATGCAACATTTTTATGCCATGTGTCCCTATTTAGTAAATAATATAAAAATAAAAAATGTATGTAATATATTACTATTTTTGAAGAAATGTAAAAATTTTATTAAAATAACAAAGCCAATATCTCCCGCTTATATGACAGAGAAAGAAAATGACGTGAAAATTTGAAAAAATGAAATACTTGTACGAGGTTTTCTTTTATTACTAATGCTCTTATGTATATACTATCTTGTGTGTATAAATAAATTTAAATATTTTAATCCTTATCAATCATTTAATAATTTTTTTTTTATAATATTACAAGACAAATAATACTAAATTTATAAAATATATAATATTGAATATATTTTTTTTCTAAAAAAAAATATCATATTAGATTATTAATTTTTTACTATTTTAATTGTTTTTTTTTTCCAAAAACTCCTAAAAATTCCTATAAACATAGCCTATTTTTGTTTACCCATACAATATTTTAAAATTTTGATACTCCATTATTGATTTATTGTAATAAATTGTCCGAATGAAAGTAGATAAGAGAATTTAATAAAGTATAATCCCTAAGTGATTAAAAAAATGTATTACTAAAATAATTATAAATGAAGATAAATATAATTAAATAATTTAATTAAAATTAAAAAAATTATACATTATAAAATTTAAAATACTATTCAAATGTACAACTATATTTAGAAAAAAGATTATATGAGATGAGTCAAAATAAAAATTATAAATAATTTATGTGAGTGGAATGAAATATAATTTTGAAAAAATCACGTACAACAGTGTTTAACGTAGCAGCGCAAGGCCACATTGCCATCCCAATACATACATACTTGTAACGGTCAAACTGAATTACGAATTTATGAAATCAATCCAAAATCAACTTGAGACGAGAGGGGGAGGCCACAAATTTCTCGCAAGCAGAATTTTTTTTTTTTTTTTAATTAATTTAAAAAGCTGATATAATTAATAAATTCCTCCAGCCACCAATTTCCAGCCATGGCTGCTCTTTGCTTCCATATTTCTTCTTCATCCATCAAATTTCCATTCTCCCAACTCTCCGCTGCGAAGCTCTCCAATTGCGTCGCAATTCGCTGCAATAACAGAGGCGAAGGAAATGAGAACCACCCCAATTCTGAAGAGGCGACTAAACAGCAGAAGAAGAAGCTCTCTCATCAGTCTTCCTGGGAGTCCAAGGATTCCGAGGGCAAAGATTACTTGTATAGACTTGGCGCGGAAGCCGATAACATGAATATCGCTGTTGGAGCTAGGGCTGGAGTTATAGATGAACTCTTCGCCGGCAATTTTCTTGGAAGAGACTGTAATGAGTAGTAACTCTTGTCTGTTATTTTTTGGGGATTTTAGTTGCGAATTTCTTTGAGTGGCTGTAGATTGGCGTAGGGTATGGATTTGTGAGTATTTAATTTTTCTTCCACTTGCTTGAATTTTGACAGCGGATATTGTGTTTGATTATCGCCAAAAAGCTACAAGGTCTTTCGAGTATCTTCAAGGAGATTATTACATTGCGCCTGCATTCATGGTATATTGTAGTCTTGTTGTTGAAACTTGAATGTCTTTTGAATTCTTCTTTGTATTGTAGAGAGACATATGATTTATCTGACACATGCCTTTTGTCTTATTTTGTGTGGCTGGCAGGATAAAGTTGGTAAGGCCATCAACGTGTAAAGATCAAATTCAATGCCAAAGAAAATAAAATTTAGTGCAAAACACTTGACTGATGTGTTTCAAATGCTTACATGACAAATGATATTTCCTTGTCATGGTTTCGGTATCCTAATTCTTACAGTAATTGTTTATCACATGATTTGATCAACTCTTCAGGTTTTGCATATTTTTGTTGTTGTAGCAGGACACCCTGAGGGGTGTTCCATATGGTAATTTTCTTGTGCTGCTACTTTGTAAACTCTGAAATTCAACAAAGTAGTTTCATTAGGTTCTTGAAAACTGACTAGGTGTTATATAGAAGTTACAAGATCTTGTTGTTATCTATAATATTCTGATATAATTTCTGTTTCTATTTCAGCACTGCACATAGTGAAGAACTACATTTCTCATCTGCTCAATGCTAGAGTTCCTTTGATCTTAGGTGAATTTATTTTCTGCAAATCAATTTAAAGACATTAATAAGGTGATATATATGTGCAAATAGAGCAAATCATGGAACATTGGGTAAGTTCTTATCTTGTTCTTGTTATTTTAATTGATTTAATTTTCCAATCCAACTTGCCATACTTTTAAAAAAATTTGATGCATGCTTTGTAAATCCAAAATCCAAACCAACCACAATCCCTCATTGTACTGTTACTATTATCTTGATGAAGGAAATTGAACGTGCTAATTGGCAGGGATATGGGGAGGAAAAGGACAAGGTAAAACTTTTCAAACTGAACTTATTTTTCGTGCAATGGGGGTTGAGCCGATTATAATGTCAGCAGGGGAATTGGAATCGGAGAATGCAGGTGTGCTGCCTTTACATGACTAGAGTGATTTCATGTTCAATTGATTCTCTTGCATTTAAAGTTCGGAAGCTATATAATTTTCTGTTTATTTCTATAGGCGAACCAGGAAGATTAATACGCCAACGATACAGAACAGCTTCTCAAGTGGTTCAGAACCAAGTTAGATTGTTCTCTGAGATATTTGGTTATTAACCATCATGCTCTAGTTTGCACTTTGTATATGCAGTTTGTATTTTTGGTTCTCCTCTTAGCACAACACTAAATAGCTAGGTAAATCCATAGTATGAGGCTGGTATGTACAACATATAGTCATTTTTGTTTTGATAGGGGAGGAGGAGGGGGTATAGATGTAGTGATATTACTGCAGTTTTTACATAAAAGGGGCAATCCTGTTTTTTATCTTAAGTTGTGGGTTTGGCTTACAATTTTCATGGACTCAACTTTTACCCCAACTGCTATATGCAGAAATAATGCTTCAGAAGACATCAACTTCTTTAATCTTATGTCCATTCAAGTGACAATACTTCAGTGATATCTTTCTTTTACCTCTCCAGAAAATGTGATTTGTTGTTGTTTCGGCTTTCTTGTGTTCAGGGAAAAATGAGTTGTTTGATGATCAATGATATTGATGCTGGACTGGGCAGATTTGGTAAGAAGAATATAGCTGACAAATAATGAATATAGCTCTGCTTTATAAACAGCTTCAATTATGTGCTCCTTCATATGTTTTAGTTTAGTCTCTGAAAAATGAACCTATACCATACATTTTCTAACAAGTATTTTTGGGCTTTATGAATAGGTGACACTCAGCTGACGGTGAACAACCAAATTGTGGTTGGGACACTCATGAACATAGCAGACAACCCTACAAGAGTAAGCATAGGGCAAGCTTGGAGAGAAGAAGACATTACAAACAGGGTTCCAATTATTGTAACAGGAAATGATTTAACAACAATCTATGCTCCATTGATTCGTGATGGAAGGATGGATAAGTTCTACTGGTAATTTTGTCATCTCAAAGCTAGCAATTCACACACTTAATTCTTACAGTTGATGTAAATTTTTTGAAAGGGTAATGCTGCAGATGGTTACTTTTCTCATATCTCAGTTCATTAAGAAATAGGACTGTTTGAAAGTGACATATACTCCATAGATGGGTCTAGCTTGTTTGCACGATTAGGATGATTTTTCCTGTCTTTCTCCCTTAAATGTACAGTAGTAGATGGATGCTGTATTGCATCAGTTCCATCCAAGAAGATAGCTAATTATTTAGTTCGTATATGGCTTGCGTGTGTTTAAATATCAGATATTTGATGCATAACTAAAGCTAATACAGCTTTCAATTGTTGCAGAATGTAACTTTTTAGTAAATATTTTACATAGTACTTCAGCAGTTTAAGTTTAGATGCTGTAATTAGTCGGCTCTGGAACTAATGATTGACATTAGAATTAGATCTTAAATGCATATATATATTCATGCTTGTGTATATTGTTCAATGATACAACTATCTGTATGCTAATTGCTGTTCGTTGATGACGAGTCAAACATGAATAAACATGTTCTATTTTCACTTGGATCTGAGAGTCATCATCTGGTGCAGGCAGCCAACACAAGAAGACATTGTAAACATTGTTCACAGAATGTACGAGAAAGATGGCATAACAAAGGATGAGGTTCTGAGCATTGTCAGTGAATTTTCTAATCAAGGTACCAATTCAGCTGGAATAACATGTTTTCTACTTATAACCAATATTTGGATATTTTCACGGGTTTTATTAATGTAGATTGTTGTTTCCAAATAATCTTCTTATTATACATATTCTATGTTGTATTGCATGATGAATTTAATTGATTTTAGTAAAATTTAACTTGCTTTTTACTTCTATTTCTTTTTATACGAGTACCTTACACATCATCTAGTATTCTTCATATACTATGTTTATTTGCATTATCTGCTGTTAAGATTTCATATCTATGATTTAGAAATCTCAAAATGATCTTGAATCATTTTAATTTCTTGCAAATATCAACTGAAAATTGTACAGTCAATCATACATCCAATCACAAATTTACAAACTTCAAAGTAAAATATGAAATTAATGTGAGAGAAAGTGATGGCGCTGATTTATATGATTACCACTCACTACTTATACCTGTCGTTCTTCTGTGTATCTGTGGTGTAGCATTAGACTTCTATGGAGCCCTAAGGTCAAGGACTTATGACCGATCAGTCCTAAAGGTAACGCATCAGCGAGTTTCAAAATGCATGTTCACTTTTATTGCTGTTTTTGCAGTTATTAAGTATCGATATTTCATAATGGGATGGATGTTGAATGAAGAAATTACATATACTGGCCATGATTGTTGATGCAATTCAAAGTTTGAGCATGAAGCTTCTTTTCTTTTCAAATTGAAACTTCAAGTGAAATGATCACTAGGTACATGAAAGAAGTAAATCACACTTAGCTTGTACCATAGTAAAGTATTATGTTTATAGGTTAACTTTTAAGCCTTTCGAGATTCGTGAAGCACCAACAATTGACCTGTTGATGGGAGAAGGAGAAGTCTCATTCTTACAAATTAATCCCTTGCTATTATATCAAAATATTATGTTATATACTTGAATGTTACTTTGGAAAGATGCTTGTAGTCTTGTAGAAAGTAATCCTTGTTCTATTCTCTCTGACAAACAACAAGACTGTTGCAGTTTCCTTAGATCTAGTCATACTTCTGAAAAATTTTCCTGAGAAGAATAGAGAAGACAACTTCTAAGACTAATTTATGGCTTTTTCTTATTCATTTCTTTTGTTCAACATGGTTTTCGATATTTATATTTTCTTGCTGGAAATACAGAAAATTCTCCAACCCCATTTGTCTGCTATTTTATTTCATTTCATTATTATTATTTTTTTTTATATCAATTACTTCATTTTCATTTTGGATCTCAACTTTGTTTCGGGTATGGTGGCAGTGGGTTAATGATGCTGGAGGTGTTGAAAATCTAGGCAGATGGCTTCTCAAGCAGAAAAAGGATGGAAAACTTCCAGTGTTCACAGCTCCAAAGGTATCATCTTGAAGCTTACTATTACTATGGAAATTTAAGTGTTAGCATGTTGCTTATAGGAAATTATGAGAAGAATTGCAGTTTAATAGAGAGAAAGCAAAATCACAAAATCTATCTAGTAGAAAGAGATGGATATTATTACTCGGTATTATGTACATAAAAAACATGACTAACAGGCATTGCTGCTGCCAACTGACATCTGAAGTAAAAAGGAATAATCATTATTGAATTAACTGGAAGCAAATGAAAACATTAGCAAGCAGATAGGGACTATGCCCCATCCCAGGATTAGATAGGGAACCTAAGAAAAGAAACTAAAGGATATTAGTGGATAGACAAACCCAACCTTGGGAAGATTAGAGCTTGACAGATATAATATGCTAACACTACTTGAATTCATGGGAGCCATAGCCAATGCCTGTACTTTACATATGTAGCCTTACAAGTGCATGTGTACCTTACTTATGATCAAAATTAAAGTTGGAGAACTTTACAAATGTTTTTTCTTTTTAATCCAAATTACAAGTACCAAAGCCTTTATATATACTCCTAAACTTAGGAAATAGCAAAAAGAACACTTGAAAGAACTTGACATGAACACTTTTGGAAGCTCCCAGAAAAGAATTTATTGATTCTCTCCCAATTGGTTGGACCGTGGGAAAAACTCGTGTCACTGTAAAGTTTAGAATGTGGTATCTCACTTGAGAAAAGGCTTTAAACTTAAACTGAACTTTGACATCCGGAAGGTCTTTTTGGCACTTTGTGGTGTCGGTGCAAATATATAGGCTCTGCCTACATAGATATATACCGTTTACATAGAAATTTTTTGAACTTTTATTAAAATTTATCAACAGCAACTTTTATGAAAAATGTCATATGAAATATCTTCCAGTCACAAAATCACATTGAATACAACTTTTTATTATTTTCAAAATTTTCTAAAACTCAAAAACTTCTATGTAAACGGATGGTATTGTTTAATTGTGGTTTTGGTGTTGTTTAATTGTGGTCTCTCTGGGACTCCATGTCACCATATTAATTCAAAACAAGTATCTTGTGGAACTAAGCTTTCCTGACTAATATACACTCTTGATAATAATCATCTGGCTAGACGACACAGACGTGCAGTTGATCTGTTCCATTATTTTGTTTTGTTTTATTTTATTTTTATTGCACGTGTACAGCAAACAGTGGATCGTCTATTAGAATCAGGATATGATCTGGTTAAAGAGCAAAAGCTGGTAATGGAAAGTAAGCTCTCGAAGGAGTACATGAAGAATATGGATGACTGAATAGCAGGTTTAAGGACACGCACACACTTATCTGTGCTATATATTTTATTTAGTTGTTGTTGTAGAAAATACGGAGTCTTCACTGTGCACGCTTGTGTATGTATCCATGCAAGCGATTTTGATGAATCAAGTCACATTTCTAAGGGATTATGTAAAACAATATCACGTAAACTTTGATGATTATTATTCAGAATAATTTTCAATTTGTTTCGTGATCCTACCTTTTATATATATATATATATATATATATAGTCATTGCTCTTCGAATGTGCTATGGGTAAACTCCCAACCAAACCTAATAGCCTACAAACTATTCTGGTAAGATAAGTCATACTAAGCGAACAATATGTAATAGACCATCCTACTATTATAGTATTATTTATACTTTCTATGGTCCATTAATACTCCTTGTTCAAAAATAATGTCTCAAGAAAGCTATATACAGATAGAAGAGGGGATGAGGTTGAGTTAAACTCATCTTAGTCTTGTTTCTTATCTTGAAGTTCTTGTAATTGTATTTTTAGCTTATTCATCTTTTGTGGGAGTCATCCTATAGAATGCCTTAAATATAGAGATAGAACGGGGGATGAGGTTGAGTTAAACTCAATTTCCTTACATGGGGAGGCCTGGTTAGGCCACTTAGAAATATCTTTCCGAAGTCTCTTACTACAAAGAGGCCGACACTTGTGTTTCCACGCCACAAGCCAAATATGCTTGTCATAAAAAAGGATAAGGCATAATAAACTACCCTTTATTTCAATGAAATATTCCAAGGACAAGAAAATAATAAAGTATTGAGTAAAAGATTACGATGCCCCTTAGGGATGTGAATTTGTATTTTTGGGTCGTATTCGCGTCGGGTTGAATAATAGGAGTAACAAAAAAAGTCAAATCCGAACCCGACTCGAATTCAAAATTTGACCTGAAACTTTAGACCCGAACACGACACGAATTCTTTCGGGTCGGGTTCAGGTTGACTGAATTAGTTACAGGTCACTCAAAACCCGAAACAAAACCGACACATAACAGACCTGAAAACTTAAAAAAATTAAATTGATCTAAAAAAATTCATTTTTATTTTTTTATTATTTTATATTTAATATAATATAAATATTATAAATTAAAATAATAATAATAAATAATTTTTAGGTCAACTTGAAACACTAAACTCGAAACCTGATCTGATTTTTATATTTCGGGTTACCAGGTCGACCCGAACACGATACAAATTTTTTCGTTTCGGGTTCGGATCGATCCGATTTTTTGCAAACTCGAAATACCCAAACCCGAACCTGAAAAATTTCGGGTCGAACGGATTCGATATTTCGGATCGGGTTTAATGTTGACATCCCTGATGCTCCTATCCAAAATTCTAGGCTTGTAACATTCTATAAGGTGGTAGCATAATATGATAGATTTATGTAGAGTTGGATTTGCCATTGGTGGCTCTCTTCTATACAAGGTCTTCTTCATTGGAATACTATTTTCTATGGGTTCACTCCTTGTGTGTGGTAGTCATATTAACTTGAATTTTTTATTTTCCCTACTTGGTCGTGTAGTCATTCTCGTTCACCATCATATATTCATTTAAGTTGTTGGTTGTATATAATTCTTTTGTTAGTTGTTTCCATTTAGTCCTTAATATGTTTGCTAATTTCTAAAGTTCCTTAAAAATAGTTTATGATATGTCGTACTTGGCCTCTGTTCAGGGCGGATGTATGTGGGGCAAGGGGGATTCCAGCCCCCTTTCTCCCACCCCACCCCTTTATAATTTTTAATTTTTTGTTTTTATTTTATAATATATAATATAAAAAATAATAAATAAATTAAAAAATTGCAAAAACTTGATAGAATATTTATATGAAAATTTAAATTTTGAATAGTAAAAAAATTTATATAATAATAATTTTTTGATAATATAAAAATAGATATGAACAAAAAAGTAATAAATAATAATTAAAAAAAATCTTCAAAAATTTTTCAACCAAATACACCGAAAATGATATTTTTAACCGTTTTTTTTAATAAATGTTTTTATTATTTATCAATATCATATAATACAAAATTTATCTTGTAATATGCAGTTGTCAATGTAGATTGATATCTTGTAAGATTTTCGAAATATGATAACTCCATTGATAAAATTATTGGATAAAAATAGATGATGATCGTTTCAAAATTTGTAAAATTAGTCCCCTTTTTCATTCTGGTCTGGTTCCGCTTGTGCCTCTATTCCTACCTGGACATAGTGATCTTGTTCGTACTTCCATTGCATATGATGGAGTTCATTTTTTAGTACAAGCTTCGGTGGAGTTCATGGTATTTCTTACTTCAACTTACTTTATAAAGTGCTCTACCCCTAGTCTAGCCATGCAGAAACTATGGGATAATTTTGATTTGGGGCTCAAATCAACTTGCATAGTAACTCAACATTGCAAAACCCCAAACCAGGTCAAAAAAAACACACCCTTTAGTGATTTGTCAGGACTATGGTTTTGAATTTTGATTAGACATTGAATTTGATGTCATGTTTTGTTAATTAGTGTTAGAATACGAAAATGAAATTCTTTTTTTCAATCATAAAAATATATGTGTATTTATAATGATATACAAATCATTTAAATAAAGTAATCATAAATATAATATATTGCTTCTAAATATATTTTAACATCACTCCTCAAACTCAAGATATGATTGAACAAACTTGAGTTTGTCAGAAGTGACTGAAAAAGATATAGTCGAAATCTTCCACGAACAAACTTGAAGTTGCCATTGACTAAAAGTGGTGTACTCGTCTACTGGATCAGAGTCAGAAGCAGAACTCAACACCATTACAATTGGAAACATAACTCACTTGGTCACAACGGAACTAGAGGCGAAAATAGGACTCGTTCACTCTTAATAAAGATAGAGCCGAAAGCAGGACTCACTCGCTCACAACAAAGCTAGAGCCGGAAACAAAACTCACTCACTCTCAATAGAGTTAGAGTCGAAAACAGGACCCTCAACGGCGTTAGAGTTGAAAGTGGAACTCTGTCAGTGGAGATCGAAGTAGTAGAGACGTAGACTACATGAAAATGATAGCATGATCATGGATATAAGCAAATATATCAATAAAATATAAAAGTATATACGGGATATAACGGGGGTCATGGATGTACTTGGAGAGAATTTGGCTCTGATACCATATTAAAATATTAAACTGAAATTCTCTATTTCAATTATAAGAATATATACATATTTATACTGATATACAAATCGTCTAAATAAGGTAAGAATCCTACAAATATTTTAAATAGGACGACTATCATAAATATAATATATTACTTTTAAATATATTTTAACAATTAGAAAAATATATATTTTTTTTATTGAGAATTATAACATTATTCTTTACTCCTTCCGTCCACTTACAATGAAAATATTTACTTTTTGCGCTATATTTAAGAAATAATAGTATTTTAATCATAGTTTGTAGTTAAAAATAGTGCAATCACATTTTTGCTCTTGTTTTTTTTACGTAAAAGTAATAATGTGATGTAAAATAAGAATATTTGCGACAAAAATTAGATATTTAATAAAATATTTACTTTGTAATTTAACGTCCTAGTAAGAATACTTGTAAAAAAAAATTAAGTATTTGTAATTAGATATATTTTCTTTTATTTACTTTTGGCGCTATATTTAAGAAATCTCTTGCAATCGCGACATCTCTGCACAAGAGATTTCTTCTCTCCCTTCCAGGTAAGCGCTCTGAAAGCATAATTTTTTTTTTAACAAAAATAAAAAATTTCTTCGGCATTTCTAAAAAATAAAAAATAATTTATGTCAAAGATGATGAGATACTTTGGTTGAATATTTTGATTGCGGATGACCTTAGACCACTGTACCTCCACTCTATTTTTGAAGTGAAGTTTTTATGGCATTTTGTAGTATTTTTGTATTTTTGTTATTTTTTGGGATGTATTGTGTAATTTTATTTTTTAGCAGATGCTATATAATTTTATATATTAAAAAATTATGTATAATTTTATTTTTTAAAAGTGATGTATAATTTTATTTTTTGGAAAGTGATATATAATTATATTTTTAAAATTAATATATAATTTTAATTTTCGGAAAGTGATATAATTTTATTTTTTAAAAAAAAATAATGCGTAATTTATTTTTTAAAAGTGATATATAATTTTATTTTTTAAGTGATATATAATTTTATTTTTTTAATTGATATGTAATTTTATTTTTTTAAAGTAACATGTACTTTTATTTTATAAAAAGTTATGTATAATTTTTTATTTTAACTAGTTATTTGTCTCTATAGCATTTAATTATTTATTTAAAATTATTTTATTTGTAATAGTTATTAATTATAAATGTTAATTTTAATATATGGAATTTTTAAATAAAATATAAATTATATGTGTATGGATTATAATGTAAAATTAATTAAAGTTGGGGTATAATTTATAAATATAAAAAATTACATAAATAATATAAAAGAAGATTATATAGGGAATATATTTAGAGAGTAAAAATTGAAGTTTATGATTGGAGTAAAAGTACAGTAGATCAGCTGCATTTGTACGGTAGCAACTGCAAAAATGGAGTGACGGGTTGGAGATGGCCTTGGGGTGTATTTTTTTTAAGAAGTTTGGAAAAATTGAATTTGAGTTTAGATTTGATTTGAATCTTAAAATAAATTTGAATTTTTATATTCCTTAAGCTTTATAGATTTTTTATGTGTACTGATTTAATATGTAATGATTGTGCTAATGTAAAAATGTAATTATAGAATTATTATTAATAAAAAATTAGCAACATCTTAATATCAATACAAAACCACCAAATGTATATAACAAATATGCTATGTAATATCTCTAATCTGTGGCACAATAATCCTAAAGGTATAGTAACTTATCGTCTCCGAATTATATAACATTCCACTATTCCATAATTTAGACGAACTAAAAGAGAAATAATAGGGATGTATTGGAAGAAATGAGAGTTACACCGGAGATTCGTCAGAAATATTGTCCGAAAAGAGGAAAAAAAATAATAAAAGAATACGAGGGAGAAGAAATGCTTATGGTATGTATAAAATGAGTGCCAGAAACATTTTTTTATAGGCATTGAAATGAAAATTGTCATCAAATTTGTCATTAATATCTGTATTAATTGAGCATAATCACGTCTTTAATATTCG